TCAATAAGAATTATCATCAATAATTCTGGAAAAATGGAATCCATTCTGATTAATTGGTCTTAGAGGTGCTGCTCATGGGAAGAAAAATAGCAAAGGAATAAGAGGAAAATATACTTTGGCAAATGACTTGAAAAGAATAGACATTCACCTTAAAGTCTGCTGCTCTTTATGCTCAAGTGATTAATAATAATGATGATGATAAAAATAAAAAATAATAGTAGCTTCTCTATGTACCAGGCACTTTCCTTAGCAATTTTCTAATATTCACTCATTTAATTCTCATAATTCACCATTTTATACATTGAAGCACAGAGAGTAAAATAACCAAAGTCCTGACAGCAAATGGCAGAACTGTAATTTGAATTTGAGGTGTCAGTTTCCACAGATAAGGCAACAGGCTGGTGTGCTTTGTAACTCTTCCTCTCTCTCCCTCTCCCTCTTTCTCTCTCTACCACCATCGTCTTCCCAAACTGGCCAAAGCCACCTGAGCTAGAGAAACTGAAGCAAATGCACCATTTCATTTTGGAAGCAGGATGCCTTGCTCTGTGGTCACTCACATTCTAAGACGGTTCTAACCTTTCCAGCCCAGATCACAAAAATATCTCTTGGCACACGGAGCAAAATGGTTTTTTGTTCTGCTTTCTCCTCCTTGGAATAGTCAAGTTTCCAAATAACTGCTTTAGAGCTTTATCATTCCCTTTCCTCCTGGTTTATCTGACAGTAATAATTACTATTTAGCTACTGACTAAGGCAAGTGGCTTATCAATAGATAATGACAAAAACGGACTTGGAGACTTTCTTTAATGAGCCCCAACTAGATAGTTTTGTTGACATTGTCATTGACAAAACACCAAAGGTTCCCCCAAAAGAGCTTGATTTTTTTTTCCAAAAAGGTTGGTAGATGAATTCAATTTTGTCTTTAAACTACAACTACCTGTCATTCTCCTTTGTCTGGATTCTATCTTAGAAAAAAAAAATCCTTTCATTAGTAAATATTCCACAAGCCTAATACCTTCTGTAATATAAAATACTTATAAATATGTATATAATGGAACACTTCTGTGTGCATTGCGATGAATAAGTGATTTAGGATATATGTTTGGAATGTATGTCATTACCAGGAGTAATGAAGAAGGACATGGCTTTGTTTCTGGTCTCCTAATCCAAATGAGAGATAAATACCATATAATACTGTGACCCCAGAGTTGTTACTTTTTTTTTCTTTTGCATTTTCATGGAACACGTTACTCATTTAAATACTCAACATTCTGTTTTGTTGCAGTAACTGTCATAAAACACTAGTGAGGTGACTCATTGTTAAAGGGTAATACTCATCACCTGTCAGCAGCTCATTAGCGTGACTGAATTGGCACTAATGTGGTAATTACTATGAATCGTCAATTTCCATTTTAATGTCTTCTTCCCAGCACCAAGAACTAGGGATGTTTGTGAAAGCACATAGGAAGGCAGAGATAGCCAAATTAACAAATTCAGCTGCCCACAATCTCCACCATCAGAAAATAATGGCAAAAGCATCTGGAATAAAAATGATGATAATGAGAGCCGATTTTTATTGAATAAGTATTCTTTACCATGCATTCACAAGTGTTTTACATATATCTCATTTATCACTCCCACTCACCCTATAAAGCATGCACTATTTTCATTTTTTTTAATTTTTAAAAAATGTTTTATTTATTTCTGAGAGAGAGAGAGACAGGGTTAGCAGGGAAGGGTCAGAGAGAGGGGGAGACACAGAATCTGAAGCAGGCTTCAGGCTCTGAGCTAGCTATCAGCACAGAGCCCGACGTGGGCCTCGAACCCATGAACAGCGAGATCATGACCTGAGCCGAAGTCGGGCGCTTAACCGACCGAGACACCCAGGCGCCCCAAGCATGCACTATTTTTAATATCACTGTACAGAGGATAAAGCTGAGACTTGGAAATGATGTAAATTGCCCAAGATCATGAAGCTGGTGAGTAGCAGAGCTACCCAAACTCAGGTCATACGTATCCAAAATCCACATGCTAATAAAACCCGCCACCCAATTTTAAAACGGGCAGAAGACATGAATAGACATTCTTCCAAAGAAGACATACACATGGCCAACAGACATGAAAAGATGATCAACATCACTGATCGTCCCAGGGAAATATAAATCAAAACTGCATTGAGATATCACCTCATACCGTCAGAATGGCTAAAATCAACAACACAAGAAACAACAGGTGTTGGCAAGGATGTAGAGAAAGGGGAACCCTCATGCACTGTTGGTGGAAATGCAAACTGGTGCGGTCACTGTGGAAAACAGTATGGAGTCTCCTCAAAAAGTTAAAAATAGAACTGCCCTATGACCCAGTAATCGCACTACTGGGTATTTACCCCAAAAATACTAAAACATAATTCCAGATACATGCACCCTGATGTTTACAACAACATTATCTATAATAGCCAAATTATGGAAACAGCCCAAGTGTCCATTGACTGATGAATGGATAAAGAAGATGTGGTATATATATACAATGGAATATTACTCAGTCACAAAAACGAATGAAATCTTACCATTTGCCATGACATGGATGGAGCTGGAGAGTATTACGTGAAGTGAAATAAGTCAGAGAAAGACAAATATACAATTTCACTCATATGTGAAATTTAAGAAACAAAACAAATGAGTAAAGGGGAAAAAAGAAAGAGAGAGGCAAACTAAGAAACACTTAACTATAGAAATAAACTGATGGTTACCAGAAGGGAGGTGGATGGAGAATGGATGTAAAAGGTGATAGGGAATAAGGAAGGCAGTTGCTATGATGGGCATTGGGTATTGTACGGCAGAGTTGAATCACTGTATCATATACCTGCAACTAATATTAGTTGAATCACTATATCATATACCTGCAACTAATATTACACTGAATGTTAACTGACTGGAATTTATTTATTCTTTTATTTTTTAGTTTAATTATTTTTGAGAGAGACAGAGAGAGAGAGAAACATAGCATGAGTGTGGGAGGGGCAGAGAGAGAGGGAGGCAAAGAATCTGAAACAGGCTCCACACTCTGAGCTGTTAGCACAGAACCCGGTGGGGGGCTTGAACCCACAAACCTCAAGATCATGACCTGAGCAAAAGTTGGACGCTTAGCCAACTGACTGAGCCACCCAGGCATCCCAACTAATGGAATTTAAATAAAAATGTTTAAAACAAGAGTGAGGGGGGCGCCTGGGTGGCTCAGTCGGTTAAGCGTCTGACCTCGGCTCAGGTCATGTTCTCATAGTCCGTGGGTTCGAGCCCCGCTCTGTGCTGACAGCTCAGATCCTGGAGCCTGCTTCAGATTCTGTGTCTCCCTCTCTGTCTGCCCCTCTCCCACTTGCTCTCTGTTTCTGTCTCTTAATATAAAGACATAAAAAAATTTTTAAAAAATAAGAATGAGGGACCAAAACATTAATTATTTCAAAAAGTGACCTTTTATAAATATAGAACAATAGTGGAGCATTTAAGACTTGGTTTGATGTTTTCCATCATGTTTGTATACATAATACATTGTATATAACTCGCACAGACCAAAAAAAAAAAAAAAACAACCAAAAAACTATTGTACAAATACTAAACATTTGGACAGTAGGAATGATCTGACAATTTGTAGACAATAAAGTACTAGTGATTAATTTTTAAAAATCCACATGCTTAACAGTTTAACTCTGCTCCAGGGCTTCTCAAGCTCCACACTACCGACATGCATAGCCACATAATCCTTTGCTGTGAGGGTCTGCCCCTAGGACTGCAGGATGTTAGGCAGCCTAGCAGCATCCCTAGTCTCTGCCCACTAGATGCCAGCAGCACTTTCTCTCCTTGTCCCCCACCCTAGTTGTGGCAGTCACAAAGGTCTCCAGACATTGACAAATGTCCTCTAGGAGGCAAAATTGTTGCTCCCCAGCAAGTTAAAAATCACTGTTCTCCTCTGATACTCTTTATAATGTTTATACCATATCATGTCATTCAATAACTCTCTGAAATATAATTTTAATGGCTGTGATATATTTTATTGAATATTATATTAGTGCTAGGGGTGCCTGATAGCTCAGTTGGTTAAGCATCCAACTTTGGCTTTGGTCATGATCTCACAGCTTGTGAGTTCGAGCCCTGCATTGGGCTCTATGCTGACAGCTCACAGCGTGGAGCTGCTGAGGCTTCTGTGTCTCCCTCCCTCTCTACCCCTTCACTGCTTACGCTCTATTTCTCAAAAATAAACATTAAAAAAGTAATTTTAAAAAAGTAAAAAATAAATTAGTGCCATACCTAAGATGTTACTTTTGATTCTTTTATTTAAAAAAGTTATATTTGAGAACTTAAAGCAATTAGGTTCTTTGCAATCTACCCCTTTGGTGTCTATAAGATATGAAGTTAGACTTCGCCAATCAAATAATAAGTAGGAGGTGATTTATAATGCAAAACTTACTAACTTCCTCCTCTGAAATGTGTCACCATTTTTTCAGTTGGTATACTTTAGAAGACAAAATTAAGAAGACTTGTATCAAGAACAAGTTTCTTGAGCAGTGAAGAGTTTATTTGATTACTGTACACAGACATGACCTAAGTCAACAATCAATATAACTGCATGCATATATATCTGAAAATGAAAATAAATTCATTAGTCCATTTTCTAAAAATTCAGAATTTTATTATTTACCTAAAATGTCTAATAAAATTTACTACAACTTTGGTTTTGTTTTTGTTCCTTTTAAAATATATACTTAAATATATATTAAAAGCAAGTATTTTGCTATTTCTACTTGCAACATTCACTAAATATTTACGTGTCATGTTAGCTACTTTAGGAAATATACAAAAATTATGGTCTGCATTCCTGAGGAAATCATTTCAGAAAAAAGTCACAATACACAAAAGCCCTAAGAATAAGAAAAGACAGTATAAAGCAATGGTAAAGTGTTTTGCATAATTCTTATTAAAGAAAAACATATGCACACACATACACCAAAGTTAAGGAAGATAGTGAAATTCATTTTAATCGGCATGTTCCATATAAACCATTTGTCACAAATTCTGGATTTTAAGAGTCCACATGAAAAATCACAGTATGCATAGACCAGAAGCAAAATACATCAAACAAAAACATCCTAAAGATATTTAGGTTGTCAAACTTTTGCAATGTTTCCAAATCATTTTAGAGTTTGGGGGGAAATAATGCATTTTTGGTTTAAAAACAAAGGTTCTCTATGTGGTTTAGACTATTATTCCTTCTCATGAAAATAATAATAATGCCCTACAAATTCCATAGTTTTAAATGAATGGTGTTTGCTGTATATTTACCAAGAAAACGGTTTATCCATTACCATAAAAACGTAATTAAAAATACATCTGGTATTTTTCCAAAGAGAGGAGTGGATTTTGTTGGGTTTATGGATAATGATTTGTATATAAGTGAACATACATTCTTAGCCTTTTCCTTGGGTGCAATTTGGAAATAATACGCCTTTTAATAGCCTACATTGGACATTGTCGTTGCATTCCAAGTGAGCAGCATCACAACTGAAGTATCTAATACACACGTGTTGCTTAGGGCTGTAATGTTACCATAGCTACTACCAGATCAAACATCTCAGGAAAGCAGTGCCACTAAGTCTTTCAATGTACAGAAACTCAGCACTTTTGAGAGTTTATGAGGCTTCATTTTTCTTCTTTTGGGGGCTTTTCCAATTGGCATTGTGTTGTTTCTTCATCTTTCTTTTTTACATCTAAAAAATAAATAAATAATTCCATTCATTTATAGAATATAGTGAAATATATTTCATACTATAGTGGAATGAAACCTTTCATAATTCCTTTATGTACCCTAACAGTTCTCTTCTTGATTACAAGATGCTTTGCCCTCAATCTAGATACGGAAACCACAGGAAAAAAAAGAAATTTGGATAGGTTTGGGAATTGCCATTCTCCAAGTTACCTTTCCCTCCTTTTCTTCAGAATTATTACATGCTAAGCAGTCTCCTGAGGTATTATTACAATCTCCATTTATAGATTAATCTATCGAAGCACAAATAGGTTAAGTGACTTGCTCAGTCACAAAGCCAGTAAGTGACAGAAACACAGTCTGGACCAGGCCAAGTGGCTCCATAGCCCAACCCCTTTAATGATATCCCTATAGTGCATCACACTCTCTCCAGCTTCCTCACAGTTTCTACCTCCTTTGCTCTTAAGAGATGATCTCTCTTACTATTTCGCAGAAAAAGAAATTAAAGCCTCAGGTAAAAGCTCCCTCAACTTTCTGCCACCAAATTTCTAAAACCCTGTAGTCTGTACTTCTTCCTTCTACCCTTCCTCTTATTACAATGGAAAATGTGTTCCTCAGGACTGGCTACATAATTTATTGGGGCTCAATGCAAAGTGGAAATGTAGCACCCCATGTTCAAAATATATGGAAATCTTCAAGAGAGCAACAGTAAGAGCATGAAGCCAAGTGCAAATCTCTTCTGAGCCCAGGGCCCTGCGCAACCACACACAGCACAGCCCTGGAGCTGGCCCTGGTGCTGCTCAGACTACCCAGGTCTATTCCTTCATGCTGTGGGACCCTTTCCATTTCTGCCTCATCAGAAAGCTGACGATCTAACAATTGTCTAACAATCATTCCCCGCCTCCATTTCACCTGACTTTCCATTTCTCCTGACTTCTCATTTCCTCACATCACCACCAGCTTCAAACTAACAAGGGTCTTCTTTTAACTGCAATTCTTCCACATACTATCTTGTCTTTTATCCTTTAAAATGTATCATCTCTTGTGGTCTCCATTTTAAATGAAAGCTATTAAGTCTCTACTGCTTCCCTAAAACTACTCTTACCAAAATCATCACTGGCATCTTTGAAGTTCAGTCTGATGGATTCTATTCAGTTCTTCAAGTTTTATTCAGGAAATATATTACTAAGCACATATTATATACCAAGCAGTGAAAAAAAAATATTCTAGCTCTCAGGAGACTTCTAGTGAGGGATATGGGGAATAAACAAAATAAGTAAAATGTGTGGTATGTGAGGAGTCCTAAGTGTTATGCAGGAAATTAAAGGAGTTGTCAGGGCACCTGGGTGGCTCAGTTGGTTAAGTGTCCGACTTTGGCTCGGGTCATGATCTCACGGTTCGTGAGTTCAAGCCCCGTGTTGAGCTCTGCTCTGACTGCTTGCTCAGAGCCTGGAGCCTACTTCAGATTCTGTGTCTCCCTCTCTCTCTGCCCCTCTCTCGTTCACACTCTGTCTCACTCTGTCTCTCAAAAATAAATAAATGTAAAAAAAAGAAAAGAAAAAAAAAGAATAGGAGTTGTCAAGAAGTCTTGGGGCATAGAGGTTGTGATTTTAGCGAGGGTTGGCTGGGGAGAAGGGCCATAAAGGTAAAGACCTGAGAAGGTAAGGGGTTAGCTGTGCCAATGGCAGGGAGAGAGCATTCTAAGCAGAGGGAACATCAGGGTCAAAGGCATCAATGTGCAGGAAGGAACTGTACAGAGAAGAAAAGAACAGAGGTAGGGTCAGAGGGTTACCAAGAGACCAGATCTTTTGGATGAAAAATGGCAACTAGCTGGACAAATATGAAAGTAGAGCTGACAATTTTTACCGATAGATTAGATATAAAGTTGAGAGAAAGAGGTGGGACAAAGATGATTCCAAGATTTTGGCTCTAGCCACTGTAAGTGTGAAACTGCTATTCACCAAGATGGGGAAGCAGCAGGAAGAACAGGGGTCAGGGAGAATATCTGGACTTCGTTTTAGTATCTATTAAGCTTGAGACTCCTCTTAGATAGCCAAAGCTGGGGTCAAGTAGGCAGATGGATTTATGAGTGTGAAGTCACAGGAGCTTCTGACTGGAGACAACAAATCTGTGAGCTCTCAGAAAGATATTATCCCAGTGAAATCAGATGAAATATGAAGAGGAGGGAATGTTGATAGAGAAAATCTCAAAAATAAACAAACAAACCCACTGTGTTCTGGTACCATGTAATTCATTAAGAGATCGGAGAGAGAAAGAAATAACAGCAGGAGAGGAATAGCCAATGGAGCAGGAAGAAAGCCAGGAGAGCAGAGTGTCCAGGAGGCCAAAGGAAGAAAAGTGTTAAGGGAAAGAAAGGGATGGTCCATCATGATAAAACTGCCAAGAAATCATGTAGGATGGAAACTAAGAATGGACCGCTGATTTTATCAGACACAATGCCATTTGTAATCTTGAAATAGAGGGGTGGTATGGTAAGGATCAGAGAAACAAAGAGGTTTAGGAGGCATGTCAGTTCTAAGAACTTTTTACTGGCTGCTCCTTCTGAAAAGGTAGCTCTTATCTCTGATCTTTGGTGCCTGCTGCATCCTTCAGTTGTGATTCAAAACACACCATTGTCATTCAGATTTCAGTGGGGGCTGTACTAATTTCTCCATCTAAAACTACGAGGCAACTCTACCAAAACATCCTATTTAGTTCTCTGATAGAATATATCACTGTTGACATATATTTATTTGTTTATAACCCAACTCTCTCATTGTAGATGTGATCCGGGATAGTAAGGCTTTATGTCTGTCTTACTCACCACTAATGCCACTAGGTTTTGGAATAGTGCGTAGCACTTAGTTAGTGGGCACTAAATTGAACAATGGATCAAATGAACAGTGATGGAGCGAGTTAAGAAAAGGCCTTTTGTGACATTTATAGCTGCCACCCTCTGTCACTACTTGCTACTATGATATCAGGGATCATTGTCCTCCTTATCACAGTTATTAATTTATAAGAGATAGATTAGGACAAATTACTAACTAGGCAAAATTTAGACAAGACAGGTTAGTTTCATGCAGGATACAAGACTTCTGAGATCCTAGAATTTTTCCCATCTAAAAATATGTATCAATAAGAACAACAAAAACCAAAGAAGATAGACCTGAGGGGAACTGCCTAATAACCACCCAATAATTCATCTAATAACCCCCTTGCCCGCCCCTCTAAGGGAATGTGACCTTGCTTAGAACAATCCTTTGTTTTCTTTTGCTAACAACTTCCTTGCCTCACCTTCCTTCTTATAAACACCTTCCATTTTGTACAAATCCTCAGAGCTCTCCTTTACTTGCTGGATAGGATGCTGTCTGATTCCTGAATCACTTAATAAAGTCATTAGATCTTCAAATTTACCTAGCTGAAATTTTTGTTCTTTAACACTATAAAAATAGTAACAATATTCTTTCAGATAATGATCCCCCTAGTGACCAAAGTAAAATGGTGAAGACTACTAACTCTCCTGCAGGGTATTTCGTCTTCTTTGCTTAACCTGGTAACATCAATAAGCATTAAGGTTGTGTGTGTATGTAGTTAGGGTATATAAACTTTAATTAAGCCTGTTATACTAATAAGCAACTTAGCTTCTCTCCCTCTGTAGTGGAGGATGGCCTTCAATAGCAACATCATATTCTAATAACCATATTCCATTTTCAAACTTTAAAAGGCCAAAATGATTACATACATTTTTATTTTCTTTCTTTCCCATTTTCCATCTTATAATAGTTTGTGTGTATGTATATGCTTTTTTACTATTACTTGTAGTATGTCATATGAGATATGCAATGATCTCTGGGAAAAAGAGAGTTGTCCCTGGCCAACCAAAGATATACTTATTTCATAGGGATCAAACCAAGAGCATTTGTAACTTTACCAGGTAACACATAATCTCCTGAAGCCAAGGACCAAATGTTCTGGGACTTGCATGAATAGGGTAGATGTGCACAAGCTTCTAACTCTCTTTTGCCTTATTGCCAGCAAGAATAAATTTCTGTATGCATACTAAAGTCCACCTTGATGCCTAACATGGGGCACAAGACACAGGTATTTTGGTAATGCTTCGGAACTGAAATTTTCTTTAACTTCTACAAATATTTTTAAATAAAAAGATTCTTTTAAAGCTTTATTGAAAGTATCACTATATTTATTTCCAGAAGACTAAACTCTGGATGCTGTATGAGCTGTCTGTAAGCAATGGGTAAGAGACCCGAGATTTTCCTGCATTAGTTTGACAGCTCCCTTTTTTCCATAATTCAACTTTTTCCAATGAAGGACAATTAAACTATTAGCTTTTATACAAATACTCACCTCAAAGATCTCATCTTTAACTGATAATAAATTTCTGCTTAGACATGAGAAACAGAAGAACCTGTAGAATACTACAGTGAAACAGAACCTTCTAAAGTGCTTTGCCAATGAATGACAGAAGGAAAACTATTTCATTTCTGTTTGTTTCTAGATAAATGTTGTAAGTTTGTTGAGGGGATTATATTTGTTTACCTTTGATTCCTAATTACTAGCACTATGCATGGCTTTACATGTCCAGTGAATAAATAAATGTTCAGCTTCCAAATCCACATCAAGAGACAAAAAGGTAAAACTTTTCTGTCACTTTCAGAAAGCCTAAAAAATGTACTTAGCCTTAAACAAACACCAAGAGATTTTAGTAGGCATGTAAGAAAAGAAGAGCACTTATGACTAGTTAAAAGACAGACTGTTCCAGAGGATAGGACTGATTAAGAAGAGAGCACTACTGGTTTGAAGAGAATGTGTTGGTTACCTTCCTCCATGGAGAGGGCCTCCAGTCTGAGGGGCAACTCTGAGGTTCCACCTGTCCCCGCTGAACCCTGGATGTCTGGCACAGCATTCCGGCGGCCTGTCCTTGCTGAAGATGCGAAATTGTTGACCACAGGCTCCACATCAGTCATTTTCGATGAATCTGTCCTCATAGCAACATCTACAAATAGAATGTGCACATGAAGAAGAGAATGAGCCTATTTTGAGGTAAATGTTCACTGGGGTGGTTGAAAGGCATGGCTAGATCAAAATCCCAACAGGCTTGAGAATCTAATCATTGATCACACCCTGCATCTATGTCTGCTGTTATGGTCCTGAAGCTTCCATTTGCACATTCATGCATTTGCTGAATAGAGAAGGAAGCTCTCAGTGTGAGCCAGATTGCTATAAATAAACCCTGAGCCGAATAAGCCACTTGGATGCTTTAGGGTGCAGTAATCTCTGGCTTTTGTTCTGTTTTTCTATGGATGGATCAGCCAAACTACAGCTTGGAAGGAAATGAAAACCGACTTGTTTGGCCACTCCTATAGAGACCCTGCCTGCCAGTATTTGTTTGTGGTGCTCATTCAGGCTGAAACCAAATTGCTGTAATTTGTATGGACCAAACAAAACACACTATGTTCCTATTCTTTAGATATGAGAAGTTCAACTTTATCTCAAAAGCATTTTTACCCAGCGACAGCTGTGTATTTCTGCCTGTTCTAGTCTAAGACCTAATTTTCAACAGCCTCATGTTCATGTTTAGGAAAGTAGACCTGTATTATTACCTTTTCTTGCATTTAAGTGGACATGGTAATTACTCATGCTTTCCTATGCATCCTTTATCTTTCTAGTAATTGGACCTATGAAAGAATTCTCAGGAAATAATTTACTGTACAGAGAGGGAAGGAGGTAGCAGATACTGTTTATTCTAAAACTAACCCTCTTTCATATGATGTTTTCTAATGAATCTTTCTTAAGAAGTCAACACGGGATAGTATCTCACAAGTAGTGGAAGCAGCAGCAAGCATTTATTGAGAACCTATTAAGTCCTAGGCTCTCAGTTGGCCACTGAGAACACAAAGGAATAATATAATCTCCCATTTTGAGGGGACTTGCATTCCCAAAGGGACTTGAACCCTCTTTCTCCCCTTTGATGCATGTGGTATACATGCATACCACAGAATGTGCTGAGTATCAACCAAGGGGCAGAAATTATCATTTGTGATATTTGAGGGCAGAAATATGTGAGTCTTGGCCTACATAAAGCAAACCAAGCTTTTCACTGTAGTTGGAAGGGAACCCTTTCGAATCATTTAATTTCAATTTAGGAAATTCTAAAAATAAAGTGAAATAGTCACAAAACACAAAACACAATGTGTTTCATATTAGAAACACAACTCATTTGGTTCAGAGGACCAAAGAAATGCACAATAAGCTTAGTATGGGCCTCTGGAGACCAAGAGTAGGCGAGGCTCCTTCCCCAGACAGGCTCATCTTTGCAGGAATTGTGGAAAATTTGAGAACAATGTCAGATTTTCAGACACAATTTATGAATCAATTAGACTTCTGTTTAGTATTTGCCAACTGTCTGGCATTGGCAGACACGTAGATTAATATAAAAAGCACTGGACTGTTCATCAAAAAGAACTTCACTCCATTATAGGCTTGCAGGTAATATTGGCTAATTCATTTAATTTTGGAGTCACGGTTCTTCCCCTGCATAATGGATATATAAAAAAATTAGCCTGATTCACAGGATTTTTGTTAAGAACTAATGAGATAAAGGATATAGAAACTCTTGATAATTCTAAAACTATGTTTGGTTATTGGCACCATTGTTCATATCTCACAAGGTTTTATTCACTCCACTGCCCTTCTATGTATCCCTTTAATCCTACTGGAAGGCCTCCTGAGTTTCCTAAGAGGGAAACCAGAATTTATTCAATACAACAAGAACATTTTCATATCTATAGTCTCATTTTAAGTCTCCCAATAATCTTTTGAAGTGGTAAGGAATAACCCTCACTCACTATGTGGTTGTGAAAACGAGGGCTCAGGGAGGTTAAATGATTTATTTAAAGCCACAAAGCTGCTAATGTAGCACACAGGAATGCAAATCCAGTTTCAGTTCTCTCCGAAGACAAGATGACATGGATCACTACAAAATTATCTTTCCAAATCTCTGTGATATACACAGTCACACAATAGCTACTTTTGATTCTGCCCTTCATTACGTTTTTAAAAAGAGAAAATTATATATATGTATATACATATATATATATACACACACATATATACGTGTGTGTGTGTGTGTGTGTGTGTGTGTATGTGTGTGTGTGTATGAGAGAGAGAGAGAAAGAGAAAGGGAGAGGTACAGAGTCCCTATCTTTTCACAGGTGTTCCTTTCTGGCTTGAATGGTTATTTTGTGAGACTCCCACCCCCTCCCCCTCCATGATACTTGAATGTCAATTAGAGATCTCTTCTCTACAGCCTGTGAGAAGTGCCTGACACCAAGTTTGGAAAAAGACCCCATGTTAGGCTTCCACTCTGTCTTCAGCCAATGTTATGCTATGTCTTAGCATAACAGCTCTGTGAACACCTTGATTATTACTGGCCTAATTGTCCAAAATCTTAAAGTTAAAGATAACAATCATATAAAAATATTAAGATATGCTATTTAAAATACTTAAATACTATACATTTTATATTAAATGAAATGAGTAAACTTCTTTAGTAAGACAGTCTATGTTAAAGAAATATTGAATTAGAATTTGTATGTTGAAAAAGAATTTCCAAAAGATGAACTTCCATCAACATGAAGAAATTCTAGGCTCTGGGTTTATTTCAAGGTTTCCTTGCTTTTGGCTGCTATTTTGCTTTTGCCTTTATATTATTATTTCAGACACAGGCTTTCTAAATTAGTCCTATTTGTTGTTTAGTGTTAGAAAGATCACAAACAAGATCACAAAACTAAAAGTCTGTCAAGATTATAGTCATTACCTACCATTTTAAGGTAAAAAAATACAAAACAAAAACAATAAAACAAAACAAAACAAAACAAAAAGACTGGATGTGCAGGGAGGCCAGACAACAACAGGCTGCTTTACTCGGGAGCTTTACTTGGTCATTTCCCAGCTCTCCCTCTCCTCACTACCATCTTCCTTTCAGACAGAGTCTGCCACCAATGCAGATGCTGAGTGACCTGGAGGCCATGCTCCGCCACAAAACAGTTCACCCAGCCTGGCCCCACAGGACTGCAGGGGGAGGTAGCGTTCTACAGTGAAAAGTCATCTCATCTTCCTGACAGAAGGTGTTGGTGACTTAGAGACTGCTGGGTGGCAGGAACGTTTGAACACACAGTGTGATTCTGAAATGAGCTCTTCTAATTCTCTAGCAAGGAGATTGACTGCAGCATTAAAAATAATCTGCAAGTCCATAAGGGAAGTACGGCTGAAAAAACTATATGCATAATATTATGGAACAGTATACAGCGATTATAAAGAACATGTTAAATCCAGTTAAATCTACCTATGAAGATGCATCCTTGACACATGTAAAATAAAGCAAAATTTAAAAGTAATATTTACAGTGTGTGTGGGGGGAAGCAATGAATATAATATGATCTCAATTTTGTAAAAAGAATAAAAAATGCTAGTTGGGAATGCAAGAGAGAACAAAGAGAATATTAATCATTTTTTGGTACTTCCTTACATATATTAACTGTAACAATGAGCATATATTATTGTTGTGATTTATAAGAATTGAAACACATTCACCTGTCAAAACTATGAATACACAGATATTCTAGCACAGAAAGGCTCTAAAAGTGATTATTTCGATAATTTTACCAAAAAATGGTGTATCTTTAAGTGTAGACCTCTCCCTGTACCAAACAGCCATCCTACCTGTCTGTTGTAATTGTCCTATGCAACATTGATTACATATGCCTGATGTTTTTTTAGAGGGATGATTATATATACAGTAAAAGAGGATTTCAAAATGGAGCAAGCAAGCAAGCCTAGCTAAGAAAACCTCCTTTAAAATAAGGCCAGGATGGGGTGCCTGGGTGGCTCAGTCACTTGACTATCCAACTCTTGATTTTGGCTCAGTTCATGATCTCACAGTTAGTGAGTTTAAGTCCTGAGTCAGGCTCCATGTGGAGGCTGCTTGGGATTCTCTCTCTCTTTCCTTCTCTCTCAGCCCCCTTCCACTTGCATCCTCTTTCACCCTCTTTCCCTCTCTCTCAAATAAAACAAATTTAAAACAAATTTTTAAAATAGAGCCAGGAAGCCATAAGGGAGGAGGAATTTATGCATGTCCTCAGTGGAGAAATTACGAACTTTCTGAACTTTTAAGCCAGCTGCAAGCCCTCAGCCTAGACTGAATTTCCTCCTCACCATGAAAACTGGATTGTCCATGGTTTTCACTTCTAAAGAAGCCAGTTTGGTTTAACAAGCTGCAACCGTTTGTTTGCATAAACCAATCCCAGTTAACCTAACTTCAATTCCTGTTTTGCAGAGGACCTAAATGAAAACTACACTCCTTAACATTCTACCTTTATATAACCTTGCTCCCATCTTTGCCTTCCTTGGAACACGATTTGAGTTTCCACCTCAGTCTGTGGCTCCTGAACTGCAATTCTAACTGCCCACATAAATGTCTGTTTGCTTTCATTTTCAGTTAATTCTTTCTTCATCAACATTGTATATAAAGTAGAGAGAATCAGTCTCTTCAAATGCTTTGTGACGTTTAAAAAATACATAACCTATAGAAAGATGAGGAAACACTACTAACAAACATAGAAGAGAGATTAACTTCCAAGTTCTTTTAGAGTTTGGACTTAAAAAGCTAATTATATTTATGTTTGCTAACTAAGGCAGCAACCCTTCCTCTTAGTAGATGAATCTGGAGGAGTACTGTTTTGTCAACTGTGAATGCTTACGGGAGCTGAAACCATTTGGACATTTGGGGATTTCACAGAAGTCCTTGCAAGCCCCCAGCAGGGTGATATGACTTACATCTCTTTCATCTCTGTTGAAAATACACAATTTTCAGGCTGCTTTACCAAAAGACCATTAAACAGTCATAGATACAGATCCCAGCATCTCTGCAGTCTCCACAATATTGAAAATTCAACACCAGCACAACCAAAGAGGACAAAGATGTCCAAGCTAAAT